ACTGGATGGCAGTGTGTATTCAAGGCTCTAGAGGGACATTGCCTAGAAGGAGAAAGAGAGACTGACACTCCACAGAAAGAACTGATGAATGTAGATTTCCAATAGAGGTTTGGAGTATGAAGATACAGGGGCAGGAGGGGAAGATGCCTAGAAGAAATTATAGTCAAGTGGAGTCAGGTTCTAGACCTCATCCTGCTATTATTTATCAGTTTCAGTCTCAGCTTCTGATGTACCTTTAGAATCTTTGTGAAAACCAGTCTTTTTTCTTTTTTTTGAGACAGAATCTAACTCTGTCACCCAGGCTGGAGTGCAATGGCACGATCTCAGCTCACTGCAACCTCCACCTCCTGGGTTCAAGTGATTCTCCTGCCTCGGCCTCCCAAGTGGTTGGGACTACGGACGTGTGCCACTATGCCTAGCTAATTTCTGCATTTTTAGTGGAGATGGGTTTTTGCCATGTTTCTCAGGCTGATCTCAAACTCCTGGGCTCAAGCGATGCTCCCACCTTGGCATCCCAAAGTGCTTCCCCTCTCCCACGTTTCCTTCATCCTAGCCTGCTTCCCTTTACTAATATGGCAGGGTATGTCTGTGTGCGTGCACATACACACAATGTGTGACCGTAGAGATCAGGAAGACCTTGCCAAATCTACTTGGAGTCTCTTGCTGACGGCAGGGAAAATAGATGCAAGGAAGGTGGGTGTCAGGGAATAGGGAGGTAGCATGAGGAGAGGGACTGACAGAGAGAAGATAAGGACACGGGTGAGGGTTTGCTGAGAATTCTAAGCTATCCAAGCAGAAAGGGACCTCCAAGGTCAATTTGTCCAACTCCCTGGTTTTACAAATGAGGAAACAGAGGCCCAGAGAAGTGAGATGGCTTGCTCAACATCACACTGCTGCTTTGTGGCAGAGCTGCAACTAGAACCCAGGTCAAAAGAAAAGGGACTGGATGGCAGTGTGTATTCAAGGCTCTAGAGGGACATTGCCTAGAAGGAGAAAGAGAGACTGACACTCCACAGAAAGAACTGATGAATGTAGATTTCCAATAGAGGTTTGGAGTATGAAGATACAGGGGCAGGAGGGGAAGATGCCTAGAAGAAATTATAGTCAAGTGGAGTCAGGTTCTAGACCTCATCCTGCTATTATTTATCAGTTTCAGTCTCAGCTTCTGATGTACCTTTAGAATCTTTGTGAAAACAAGTCTTTTTTCTTTTTTTTGAGACAGAATCTAACTCTGTCACCCAGGCTGGAGTGCAATGGCACGATCTCAGCTCACTGCAACCTCCACCTCCTGGGTTCAAGTGATTCTCCTGCCTCAGCCTCCTAAGTAGCTGGGACTACAGACATGTACCACCCCATCACACCAAGCTAATTTTTGTATTTTTAGTAGAGACGGGGTTTCACCATGTTGGCCAGGCTGGTCTCGAACTCCTGACCTCAGGTGATCGCCTGCCTTGGCCTCCCAAAGTGCTGGGATTAGAGGCCTGAGCCACTGCACCTGGTGAAAACCAATCTTATAAACTAAGCTTACAACATCAAGCTTAGTTCTTAACAAGTGCTTACTAAGTCTTTACTAAGGTTGTTGTTTTACCTCAGAAGAGGAAAGACTTCTGGTTGTATGGGTTAAGGTATGGCCCAAATGACCCTGTGAGGACACAGGACAGAGGTCCAGTGTCTCCAGAGCCCATTCCTTCTGTGCCTCTGCCGCCTGCAGCTGATAAACCTCTTATCTGGCCCAGGCAGGGAAGCCCAGGGCCAGGATAGGAGGAGAGGGCAGAGCTGCTATCAGCCACCAGGCCTGGGCCATATCTTCGAGAGGGGGAGGGGCTGTCTGCTTGGCTCTTTCCACAACATGCTCTTGGGGATCCTGAAGCATATACTGTCATCATCTTGGAAAGAAAAGGCTGAAAACTTAAAACTGAGGACAGAGGAGGAAAGCAGGGTGACCCCTGATGTTGCCCTAGAAAATGAAAAACAAAATACAGGAAAACAGAGAAACAGAAGATCTGACTCTGCCCTTAGCCAGGAAAACAGTTTGAGGGAGTGAAAAGTAGGGGAAAGAGTGGGCATTTTGCCTGGAAAAAAGGTAAAGACCTTCTGTGCTACCAAAGGAACTGACTGTGGCCATAGTTGGCGAGGTGGAGATCATACCACAGGAAAAGATTTTCCGTCTTAAGGGATTGGTTGATGAGTCCAGCATGAGTGAGGATGGGGAGGAGGCAGTCTCTCCTTCCCTCAGGGGAAGCTGGAGGGAGCCCCTCCAAGGAGGTAGTGCAAACTTGCTGATCCTAGCAGGTGTAGCTCTAACACCTCTTTTCCTTTGACACAGGTTTCCAGAGCCATCTGGGCTTTCCAGGAACCTGGACCAGACTCTGGCCCAGTAGGATGTCCCCGTGTCCTCCCCAGCAGAGCAGGAACAGGGTGATACAGCTGTCCACTTCAGAGCTAGGAGAGATGGAACTGACTTGGCAAGAGATCATGTCCATCACTGAGCTGCAGGTGAGTAAGGGCGGGATAGGGTGGGGAGAGCGTGTGTCAGAGAAGAGAGAAGCAGGGAGTTGACCTGGACTGAGGCAGAGGGCGGGAGCAAGCAGGGCTCAGGGCTGGTAATGCTTCAGGCACTGGGAAAGGAAGAACTGGGAAAGATCTGGATGGAAGACACTGAGGAACATTGAGGAGGAGGAGTGGAGGAGCAGTGGTGGGGAGGGAATGATCTGATAGGGAGTGTATGCTCTCTCAGCAGCCACTTGACTCATATCTCTCTCTATCCCACCTCCTGCTGTCCTTCCCTTGCTCACCTTCTTCTCTTCTGACATGCCTCTCTGATCCTGCCATCTTCTTCCGTCATTACCTCTGCCTGCCCTTGGCAACTGGGTCCGTTTACTCCAGGTAGCAGAGCAGTAGTTCAGGGGCCTCAGGAAGGGGAGTTGGACTATGCCAGGGTCCTCTCCTCCTGCTACTTGGACAAAGGGGTGTCTGTTGGCTTAACAATGATGCCTTTGTCCCCAGCTGGGCTGGAGCAGGGTGGCTCCCCGATGTGGGTTGGGGGCCTTGTTTCTAGCACGTTCTCTACTTCTCACTGCACCTGGGCAGGGACAGAGGGACTGAAGAGGAGACAGCAAAGTTTGTGCTGGCTCCCCAAGGTGCTTCTTAGCCCCCAGCCCACCCCCTTTTACTGCCCTGCTACCATGCCTAGCACACTCAGGATCTGCCCTAGGCCCTCTTCCCACACAGCAGCTCCCTCTGCTGGGCATCCGGGGCATAGCCAGGATATGAACTTGACCCTTTGACCCTAGATAACTGCAGCAGGAAAGGGTTCTGAGGGGTCATCTTGAATAACAAGGCTTTGACTTCCTGAAGGAAATAAAGGAACATGAGCCATTTCTTTCTTTTTTTTTTTTTTTTTTTTTTGAGATGGAGTCTCGCTCTGGCGCCCAGGCTGGAGTACAGTGGCACGATCTTGGCTCACTGCGAGCTCTGCCTCCCAGGTCATTCTCCTGCCTCAGCCTCCCGAGTAGCTGGGACTACAGGCACCTGCCACCACACCCGGCTATTTTTTTTGTATTTTTAGTAGAGACAGGGGGTTTCACTGTGTTAGCCAGGATGGGCTCGATCTGACCTCGTGATCTGCCCGCGTTAACCTCCCAAAATGCTGGGATTATAGGCCTGAGCCACCACGCCTGGACGAACATGAGCCATTTCAACCCAGTAAGAGCTTTTCCAAGGAGAGTTCATAATTGTTCCAGTGTTAGGTAGACTTTTCTGCAGTCCAACCTCAGTGACTTCCATTCTTGCTAAAGCTGCGTTTTTCGTTTTTTCTTTTTTTGAGATGGAGTCTTGCTCTGTCGCCTAGGCTGGAGTATAGTGGCACCATCTTGGCTCACTTAAATCTCCACCTCCAGGGTTCAAGCAGTTCTCCTGCCTCAGCCTCCCAAGTAGCTGGGATTACAGGCGTTCACCACCATGCCCAGCTAATTGTTGTATTTTTAGCAGAGATGGGGTTTCCCCATGTTGTCCAGGCTGGTCTCGAACTCCTGACCTCAGGTGATCTGCCACCTTGGCCTCCCATAGTGTTGGGATTACAGGCATGAGCCACCGCTCCCGGCCTTAAGCTGCATTATTCTTGGAACAACTGTATCAGAACTTTGCAAGAAGCTTCCAATGATTATGGCAACTTTGTTTCCTTGTTACTATCTCACTGGGTCTTTCAGAAGAATCCAGCTTGATCCTGAGAGAGTGTTGGTTTTTCTTCCTTAGTCTGTCTCCAAATCTCTTTGTGTCTTTCCTTGCAGGGTCTAAATGCTCCAAGTGAGCCATCGTTTGAGCCCCAAGCCCCAGCCTCATACCTTGGACCTCCACCACACACAACTTACTGCCCCTGCTCAATCCACCCAGATGCTGGCTTCCCACTTCCTCCACCACCTTATGAGCTCCCAGCATCTACATCCCATGTCCCAGACGCCCCATACTCCTATGGCAACATGACCATACCAGTCTCCAAGCCACTGAGCCTCTCAGGCCTGCTCAGTGAGCCACTCCAAGACCCCTTAGCTCTCCTGGACATTGGGCTGCCAGTGGGGCCACCTAAGCCCCAAGAAGACCCAGAATCCGACTCAGGATTATCCCTCAACTATAGTGATGCTGAATCTCTTGAGCTGGAGGGGACAGAGGCTGGTCGGCGGCGCAGCGAGTATGTGGAGATGTACCCGGTGGAGTACCCCTACTCACTCATGCCCAACTCCTTGGCCCACTCCAACTATACCTTGCCAGCTGCTGAGACCCCCTTGGCCTTAGAGCCCGCCTCAGGCCCTGTGCGGGCTAAGCCCACTGCACGGGGGGAGGCAGGGAGTCGGGATGAACGTCGGGCCTTGGCCATGAAGATTCCTTTTCCTACGGACAAGATCGTCAACTTGCCGGTAGATGATTTTAATGAGCTATTGGCGAGGTACCCGCTGACAGAGAGCCAGCTGGCGCTAGTCCGGGACATCCGACGACGGGGCAAAAACAAGGTGGCAGCCCAGAACTGCCGCAAGAGGAAGCTGGAAACCATCGTGCAGCTCGAGCGGGAGCTGGAGCGGCTGAGCAATGAACGGGAGCGGCTTCTCAGGGCCCGCGGGGAGGCAGACCGGACCCTGGAGGTCATGCGCCAACAGCTGACAGAGCTGTATCGTGACATTTTCCAGCACCTTCGGGATGAATCAGGCAACAGCTACTCTCCTGAAGAGTACGCGCTGCAACAGGCTGCCGATGGGACCATCTTCCTGGTGCCCCGGGGGACCAAGATGGAGGCCACAGACTGAGCTGGCCTAGAGGGGTGGAACTGGTGATGGGATTTCCTTCATTCCCTTCTGATAAAGGTACTCCCCAACCCTGAGACCCAGAAGGAGCTGAGTTCTCTAGACCAGAAGAGGATGACAATGGGAACGGGTGTTTGGAAGTTCCAAGGTGTGTTCAAAGAGGCTTGCCTTGACGAAGGGCTAGCATCTGTCTTCCCTGACTCAGCTTCTCAGGTCTTCAGCCTCCACCTCGTCTAAGCTTTGGTCTATAAAGTGCGCTACAGAAATAGCCTTTTACTGTGTCTTCCTTCTTGAGGGAGGGTGGTGAAGCTGAGATAACTATCTGTTTGAATCTTACCACGTTCATTTCATTCCCCCCAGAGCTCTGTATGAGAGGTACCATAAAATTTGGGCTTGAGGCTGGGCATGGTGGCTCACGCCTGTAATCCCAGCACTTTGGGAGGCCGAGGTGGGCGGATCACTCCTCGTGAGGTCAGGAGTTCAAGACCAGCCTGGCCAACATGGTGAAACCCCATCTCTACTAAAAATGCAAAAACTAGCTGGGCATGGTGGCGCACGCCTGTAATCCCAGCCACTCAGGAGGCTGAGGCAGGAGAATCACTAGAATTCGGGAGGCCGAGGTTGCAGTGAGCTGAGATTGTGCCACTGAACTCCAGCCTGGGCGACAGAGCAAGACTCCATCTAAAAAA